TTTCAGATGCTTCTGGAGCACAGAATGGTGCGGTGTGGACAACAGTCCCTACCTGCCACACACATGGAACAGTGTGGACTCACCCTTGGGAGTTTCCAAGGGGTTCCAAGGTGATAAATCCTCACAGAACTTAGAACCTCAAGGGTTCTATTCTACTTCCTGAGTTTGGTGTTGGCCATCTGCTGAGGGATAGCAGGGATGCCCTAGAGACACTCCTATGGCCACCACCTCACGCAACCCACTGAGGTTCCCCTATAATACGTTAGGGAAACACTCTAATGCCTGGCCCACAGGCCTCATGGTTCTGAGTCTACACTGGCCATCACCAACCACTGCAGGCCCACGGGCCCAGGGTTCTGACTCCATACTGGTCATCACTGTCCACTGCAGGCCTGTGACCTGCATGCCCACCAGGGCCCAGTGAGCCGCAGCACTCTTGCTTAGATGTTGGGGATCTACAGAGATTACATCCCAGCATCACTTGACGACCAAGGCTAGAGAAATGTCCTCCACACCTGGGCCCTGGAATGTCTACAAAAGCACCATCCTCCCTCAGCAGCCTACCCCCGGACTTGCAGAGACACTAAGTCAGGAGCAAAACAGCCCTGTAGGGTCTTTAGAAATTCCAGACTGAGACTGCATTAGACAGATACAGGATTTCCTTTGTATCTGTCCGTGTCCTGACTGACCTTATCTTAAACGTAAATTCTGAAATAATTTACAAAATGCAAGTGTGGTCTTGGTTTTATCAGATTCTGGAAACTAACAGCACATACACCTAGCATGACTGTTATTCATATCACTGAAACTTTGAGAATCTCAGCCAGAAACCCAAAGAAACAACGTATGAAATAAGCAGATTTGGACAGGTAGCTGCTGAATGTCCGAACCAGAACCAATGACCCCCTTGACCCTGTCTTGTGCCTCAGAATCACTAATATCTTTCTAAGTCCTCAATTCAAAACAGCAAAGGTTCCTGCAGAAGAATTCAACAGTGTGTTGGTGTAACAGATACTTGCATTAAAAATCCTTCTGCCTTCACGACTAGTTCAAGACCAAATTCCTCATACAACTTCACTTCCTTAAAAGCAAAGCCAGAGCGATCCTCAGCCCATATGATTGTGAGACCAGAAGAACAGATGGTGCCCAGCTACCACTGTCAACCACTCGGAGGGGGATCTATGTAGGAGATCCTGGATAGAGAGGGAGAACAATGTGGAACAAAACTCAAAATCATGAAAAGGAAAGGACCAGGTTTGCTGGTTTGATAGAGCCTGGTGGAACCACTGAGACTATGGCCCCTGGCTGCCCTTCAGGTCTGGAATTGAACCACTCCTGTGGCTTCCAGCCAAACAAAAGACAGGCATAGGAGTTGAACATTTACCTGAGATAGATACACTCCTTGGAAAGATCAATCCTGGGAGAATAGAAGGGTTTGTGCACAGGGAGACAGCTCAGGGGGCAGGAGTGCATGGAGGGATGGACACAGGGAAGAGGGAACGATCAGGAGGAAGTGGGAGGGGAGCTGTTGCATTGGGGTAAATTGTAGTCAATGTCATGAGACAAAGTGTATGTGAACTGCTGTATGAAAATGAATTTGCTCTGTAAACTTTCACCCAAATCACAATAAAAATTAAAAAAGAAAAAAAAGCCAGAGGTGAGGCTGGGTACAGACAGCTAAAGACATTAACCCTTCTGAAGCTGAGATGTTCCATGTGCCAGCTCTCAAAAAGAGGCTTATCGACAGCAGACATGCAGCTGCTCCGAGTGACCGCTGACTGCTCAAGATGGGTGAGCAACCAAGAGACAAGTGATCGGCTCCTGAAGCTAATTCCCTGGAGGCAAGCACACATCACTAAAAGTCACCATCTGAAAACTACCATCCGGACATCGTCCCGCGGCGGGCACGGGCACTCGGGCTTCTGCCTCCCCGCCCTCCCAGTATCTTCAACACATGCCACCGCTTCCCGACTCAGTGAACTGCACACAGCACTGTCACCAAGCAGTTCTACCCTTGAGGGATGTGGCTGGGCGGAATTACTGGCCACAAAGGACGCGTGTGCCAGCGGAACACGAGAAGCACTAGACAGATGCTGTGGCTGCTGTGACCATCAGCACCATCCTGGGAGAAGGGAGAAGGTGGAGAGGAGCCCTCTCCTTGCTGAGGAGTCGTGTGCTCTTAACTTGACACCAGGATGTAGGTACTGGTGCCATCAAGTCAACTCTGACTCATAGCAACCACCAGTGACAGAGAAGAACTGGCCCACAGGGTGCCCTTAGCTGTAACTTTTACAGGCACAGACTGCCAGGTCTTTCTGTCATGGAGCGTCTGGGTAGGTTTGAATCACCAACCTTTAGGTTCGCAGATGAGCACTTAACTGTTGAGCCACCAGGCCTCCTTTGATATTAGGTTTGGAAAGCTGATTTTCCTGGGGGTTCTACCACATGGTTACTAGTAAGAATGGAAGCCCCACCCCTTAGACAAAATGACTGCTCCCTCATGCTAGGAAGCCACCAGATACCGGGACTTCCACTGCTCAGATGTCACCCTCCGCACTGCAGCAGGTATGTGACATCTCTTCCTTTGAAGCCCTAGGAAGGGAGAGGCCAGGTCAGTGCCGAGGAATGACACACGGCGCCCTCACTGCCTCCGAGGAAGATAGGCGTATAGTGATTTTTGTTTGAAAGTTCCTTGTTGTGTGGTGACTACTATACCACAGGACAGGGGACACCCGTTGGCTGAGACAACCCAACACCAGGCGTGGATAGAGCCATGATCCAGGCCATGGCCTGCAGCCCGTCACCACCCTCATGTCCTGCATGGGCAGGGTCCATGGGAGGGAGTTGGGTCACTCTGTAAATGACCTGGCATTCCATTTCAACCGTGGCTTCTCGCTACCCTCGAGCACTGGCCAGTGAGATCACCAGCAAGCACATTGCAGGGAACCAGGACACATATGTCAATGAGGGACCAAAACAGTGGAAAAACTTCCATGTCAGCCCACTACAGACAGCTCTTCCTACTCACGGCATTCACTCCCAGGAAGGTGAAGGGCATCACACCTCCTGGAGGGCCGGCTGCACCACCAGGAGATAAAGGTAACAGGAAATGTGCTCCAGATGATCGCCACTGAAGTTCCCAATTGGAGGGAAAACTGCGTCCTGTGCTTCCCACCACCAGGCCCAGGCGTCCGCCCATCGGTGCCCTGGGAGTCGTCCACAGCCACCGCTCGGGCCTGAAAGCCAGGCTGGCCCCCCATGTCCCACGACCCCAGTTCTCTCTGCATAACTGCTCCTCCCTTAGTCTTGGGAGAGACTCTGACAGTCACTGACCGGTAAAACACACAAGACAGGAAACTGCCACGTTCTCAGGATGCAGGCGTGTGGGAGAGGCCTGGCCTCTGCTCCAGGTAAAAACTGTGGGGTCGGTGGGCAGGATGGTGATTCACGTGCCCATGTCTATGGCTTAGACCCACATTGCTCTGCTGACAACTCAGAAGACAGCAAGCTTTACAGCATTTCAAGCTGAGTTACATGATGTGATGGGAACATACGAACACCCTATTAGTCAAGAGGTAACTCTTGCTTTCTCTCTGGTTTCCCAACTCCTATCTCACAGCACGCCAGTGGGAAGCAGGTTAGAGCAGGTGGTGGCAAACACCATCAGCTCCCAGTTATCTCTCTACTCAAACACTCAGGAAGGTGACAAGGGTGCAGCCCAGCCTAGGACCGACACGCTCCATCCACACACAGCCCTGACTACACACCATCCACGCACAGCCCTGACCACATGCCATCTACATGCAGTCCCGACCACACACCACACAGCCTAGGACCAACACGTGCATCCACACACAGCCCTGAGTACATGCCATCCATACACAATCCTGACCACATGCCACACAGCCTAGGACCGACACACTTCATCCACACACAGCCTAGGATCAACACACACTATCCTCATGCCCCGACCACACGCCATCTACATGCAGCCCTGACCACACACTGCAGAGCCTAGAACCAAAACATGCCATCCACACACAACCTAGGACTGACACATGCCATCCTCACACAGCCCCAACCACATGCTACACAGCCTAGGACCGACACACGCCATCCTCATGCATCCCCGACCACACGCCATCCTCACACAGCCCTGACCACATGTTATACACATGTTTAGCTTCAGGAAAGAAAGGGGCTCACAGCCAAGAACAAACGTCAAAGGAGAAGCCCCTTACAGGTTGTCTTCATCAGAAGTCCCTCTGCCCTGTCCTGCCTCCGGATACCATCTTGTAAGAAGGGGGCAGAGAAAAAAAAGTGGCAGAAAACTGTGACCCCCGTCCCCATGCAGCCTGGCATGTGTGTGTGCAAGCATCTGCATCCAGGGTGCTGGCCCCACTGGGGGCACCAGAGCCCCGGTGGCCAGCTCCACCCGCAGGAGATGGCACAGTGGGTGTCTGTGGGAAACCCTAATCCAGACGGCAGTCTGCCAGCTCCTCGTGGCCCAGCTGCTCAGAGGGCCACTAGGTAAAAGTGAAGTGAGCACTTCCATGGCCCCAGAAGAAGCAGCACTTCAGGCTCCCGGGGAGAGATGACAACAAGGCTGCAGGCACCACTCCCGCCCGAGGCCAGCGCCATCCCCAGGGAGGGAGGCTGCTGCTCCCAGCACCCGCCCGCTGCTCCAGTGCAATTGTGGCTGAGAGGGAAATGAGAAAGCAGGGAGGCAGAAACGTGGTGGGGCGGCTCGGTCTGCTCTGCGCACTGAGGGAACCCACAGCTGGTGCCAGCAGACTGCAGTCCAAAAGGTTCGAGTCTACCCAGAAATGCCACGAAAGAAAGGCCTGGCCGTCTGCTTCCAACACATCAGCCACTGAGAAGCCGCGGAGCAGTTCTGCTGTGCTGTCCCGGGGCACTGAGAGTCAGAGGCGACTGACAGGGGAGGGCTCGCGTCCCCTAGGTAGCACTCTCAGCCAACCGTTCTGAGCACAGTGACTCACCTCATGTAAGAAGATGGAGACAGGGGCTTGGGCTTCGCCCAGGGGCAAGGGGCCTGCGGCACTGACAGGTACTGGTCACAGAAGGTGCCCTTTCGGATGTGCTGGAAGGCAGGGAACTCCTCAGGGGAGAAGGTGGTGGCGGGCGCAGGGGCTCCGGGGTCCTCACTGGCCGGCTCCACCTTGAGTGCCATGGCGGCCGTGTGCTCCAGCGTGGTCTTGCGGGCCTTGACGGGCACACCGTCACCCAGGTCCAGCGAGCTGTCGGTGGACAGGGCATTGATGGCTGCCACGATGGCCGAGCTAGTGAACTGGGTGGAGTCACCCAGCCATGTGTCATCAGTCACGCTGACGCGAGGCGAGCCCTGCGGGGACGGCGTGGGCGAAGGGTGCGACGAGCACGACAGCCGCCGCCCATTCAGGCCGTACTTGCGCTTGTTGCAGGGTGAGGAGGGCCGGGAGCCGCGAGGGCCCAGCCAGCTCTCCTCAGTGACGCTGGCCCTCGGCGAGGTGGATGGTGAGTGCCGTGGGGAGGCCAGCAGAGTGCAGGCCCCTAGGCCCCGGGGGAAGCCATCCTCGGGGTCGGTGGTCTTGGGGGACACACAGGGGGACTGCCAGGGAGACGTCTGCGGGGACACGTAGGGGTACGAGTAGTTGGACTCGTAGGAGGAGGCCTCAGAGTTGCAGCTGCGGGAGGAGAGGCTGCTGGCCGGGCTCAGGCAGGAGGGGTCCCGGTAGGCCTCGAGGCCAGGCAGTGGCAGTGTGGCCGTGGAGGGTGCCCGCCTGGCACCAGGGACAGTGTCCTCCACCTCCACATCGTGGAAGAACGGGTTGCTGCCTGGATGCAGGCCCAAGTAGGATGTGATTTCAATGCGGGGGCTCTCCAGGGCTGGGCCGCCATTGGGCCTGGCACCGCCCGAAGGCAGGAAGTAGCCGGCAGGCCCGCTGTCCACTGTGCCACCGTACCCCGAGGGGTGGCCCGTCGATGGGAGGATGGAGATGACAGGGTTGGACGTCTGCAGGTCATGGCACGGGGCGGGCAGTGTGGGGAGCGCTGTGCTGAGCGGCAGGCCAGAACTGGCACCAGAGGGTGCGTAGCTGTAGTGTTCTGGAAGGAGAAGAGTGACATGAGGGGCTGCTCGTTATTGGCACAAAAGCTCCTGGCCAGAGACCAACGCAGGCCCCTCCACCAGACCCCTGGCCCCCGCACCAGGCACAGCCTCAGGCCTGAAGGCCGTCCACCAGCCAGAAGGTTCTCCCGCTGCCCGCTGCCTACCGCCCACCATCTCCACCTCCCCCATCGTGGCCCCTGCAGCACACCCAGGCATCTGCACCCCACCCGACCCAGAACTCACAGGCCCTCCCTGTCTCTGCTCCTTCGGCACGGAGGCCCCCAGCAGGGCCCAATCATCTAGCCCAGTCCCTGTGTGGTTTTCTCCTGAGCACCAATCACAACGGCACTGTCTGTGGCTGCCTTTCACATAGGTCTCGTGCACTCATGGACTGACTTCTGTCTGTCCGTCTGTCTTGTTCCACTGCCCGTCTCGGAGCTTGGCCCATAAATGGTGCTCGGTTGCTTAGTGTGCAAATGAGTGAGCCCACGAATGAATGACTTAGACACAGAGGCCAGACTCCTCAGGCTCGGACGCAGTGCTCGCTGGCCTCCAGCTGCAAAGATGCCGCATCGGGGCAAAGACACGGGTCTGGGGCCCCTCTCAAGAGCTGGCCTGGCTCCCACCCAGGAATCCAGCTCAAAGAAGGGGACCGGGGAGGACCTGCATGCACAGCAAGGCTTATGCGTTCAGTCGGCTGCAGTACAGCCCGTGGCCAGGTCAGAGTGGCCACCCTTCCACTGTGATGTGGCGGAAACTCCCTCAGTAAGCCCGTGTCCCTGCTCAAAGCCCCCCGCAGTCACCGGCAGAGACGGACCTAGCACCCCAAGCAGCCAGGCATCTCCCCCAGCATCATGATTCCACAAACAGCTCTCCTCAGAGACAGCGTCTTATAAGCCGAGAAGGGAAGGCCACAGAGAAAGCAGCTGGTGCCGACAAGGAAGTGTGCCTAAGTGTGCCTTTCACACAGTGGCTCAAGCGCCCAGTGCGTCTGACTGCCAGATCAAAACAGCGCAGCTGCAGATGGGACAGTGAGCGACAGTCAGGACAGGCCACGCACATGCAGCTACCACCACGGTCCTTCCTCCCACTTCATCACTGCCACCAGTTGGAACTTCTGTAGTTTGCCTTCACCACGGTTTAAGAGACAGGCCTTGGCCACTGGTGGCTCCAGAGCTGTGGACATGTTAGCACACCACGAACGGTCAGGGCTTCTCTCCCTCCATGGCTGGCCCAACGTTTCCAAAACCATTCTAAACAGGACTGAGTTAGGAAAAGGTAACAGTGATCAGGGAATAAGCCACAAACTGCAGGATTCCAGCTGTGTGAGCCCCTGGAGATGGCAAGACCACATGGATGGCCAGCAGAGAGTGTCTGCCCGGAGCAGGGATGGACAGACGAGCACAGGGCACTTCTAGGGCGGTGGCAGTGTGATGGTGGCTACGTGACAGCATTCGGCATCTGTCAGACAAACAGAAGCCTAATGTGAACTGTGGACTGGATTCAAGGCCATGTGTCAACACTGGGCCATCGACTGTAACCAGAGCACCATGGGGTGTGTGGGGGGGTGTACGGGAACTCAGTCCTTCCCGACAGCTGTTCTGTAAGCCTAAAATGGCTAAAAAAGTCAAGTCTCTTAAATTCTGAAAGAGGAGGACTCAGACTCTCAGAGGGACAGGTTCAAGCGCCTATGTGCTTTCAGGCAGAAGTCAGACGGGAACTGCTCGCTGTTGGTTGCCAGTGACTCCTCGGACCCCAAGCACAAGAGGACAAAGTGTGCCCAGGCTGCCATCCTCAGTCACTGCTCTGCTGGAGCCCGTTGTGGCAGCCACCGTGTCAGTCCATCCGGCTGACTGACTAATTCAACCAAGCACAGGAGGGGATGGGACGGACCACTGTCCCACGAAAGTGCCTTTCTAACCATGAGCCAATTTTCACCCAGCGAGCGTGAATGTGTGTCGCAGGGCAGGCGTTTCACAGCTAGCGTCAACAAGGAGTTTCACTATGTCGGGCAGAGTCTGAGAGGAGATACAAGCTGATAAAGGCTGCATCCCCTGGATCCTGGCTCGCTCCGGGGCAGAGGCCTGCTGCCACGGGGACCTCCCGCGTGTGCCAAATCCGTCAGAAAGAAGTTTCTTCAGAAAATGGTGTCGTCAGTGACCAGCACTGCCACCAAGTCTCCTACTCTCCAGACGAGGCCAGTTTCTAGGACAAGACAAAGTCAGCCTCCCACCTCACCCCCGGGCAGGATGGACAGACGCAAGGACACAGCACACTGACTGCTGGGCCTGCTCAATTCTTTCTCCTCCTCCTTCCTGTTAGAGGCACACAGCCACCTAACTTTGAACAAAGGATAATTTTCCATTTTAAACAAAGCCATCCACTTTAGAAGTCTGAACAGCACCAGGCATTTAGGGTGACAGGAAACACGGCATCACGCATAAATGTGTGATCCACGCGACCACGCGACCGCGTCCACCACCCTCCACCTGACTCCCACGGGCAGTCTCCAGGCCCTCCCCCACCGCAGTCTCTCCTCTGGCTGGCGGACCGTAACCTTGGTCCGGTGGGGTGCTGGGGTCACACGCCTCTGTCTTCCTGGCTCCCAACCTCCAGGCGTGATGTGCATCACCCTGACACCCAGCGGACTCTGCCCCAGCTGCCATTTATTTGTCAGCAGGAAGGGGATTCGAGGAACAAAGCCCCTGGCCACGTCACACCCACACCGCAGGAACGGGGTGGCTACAGCCACGCCAGGACCAGAACTGCTCCAGGACCAAGGAGGCAGGCGCTGAGGGGAGAAGGGAGCGACCGGAAGCGTTTCTGAGTAAAAGCCCTCTTGGGCTGTCCAAGGAGAAACAGGCTGAGGGACAAGGAAGAAGGCCCCCATCCCTCCAGCCTGGGTGCGGGTCGCCGCCAGGCAGAGGCTGCCGGGAAGCCATCTCTGAAGTCTCCCAATAAAATGAGGTTCCGGGAAGAAAACAGAAAACACGGCGTCTGTGCTACAGAGTCCCGCACAGCGAGAGTTTCCTTCTTTAAACCAGAGACGGGGGCCTCAGATAGCCCAGCTTCATGGTGAGCACCAGACACGGCGCAGGGGGGCTGCCTGGGCTGCAGGACCTGACCCGCTGTCAGGACCACCGGCCAGCGCCCCACCCCCCACCAGAGGCCAGGCCGCCCCTCCCCCCATGGCGCCCCGCCCTCCCTGGGTGCGACCAGGCTCTTTACAACCCCTATGGCGCCCCTCCCCCACCCTCACCCTGGCTCTCCCGCCCCTTTCCTGATGGGACCCCTACTCTGCAGTCAGTGATGCCCCCCCTCTCTTCCATTCCCCCTCCCAGTGTCCCCTCGATTTGGTTTTACTACAGCCTGAAAGGTATTCAAATTCAAATTATTTAACTATTCAAAAGTTTGCATTCACGTGGGGTGGACATATTTCCAGAAACTTCCTCAGCCCTTGTGAGCTGTTCAGGCTGATTTGTGTCATGTCAGGCTCCACTAGAGAGCTCAACACCTATTAAAGTCACCTTCTCCTGGTGCCCTGGGGGCTGGCTATGTGCCAGGAAGGTTCATTAAATTACAGCGGAGCCGGTGACCAAGAAAAGCCGCTCGGGTGGGCCGCAGCAGAGGGGACAGAGATGCGGCTCGAGCCTCCAGGCACAGTGGACAGCCTCCAGCGGCCACCCTGCTGTGCAGTCCCCGTGTGTGGTGCTGGGTGCCCAGCCGCTGCAGGACACCCTCGGGCCGGCCCAGCCGCCTGCCGCCTCAACATGCGGCAGGACCCGCCTCCCCCGAGGATTCAGACTCACTGGTTTCACTTCTGAACAAGGGAAAAAGTCCCGGGACAGGTCAAAGGCGAGCTGCTGCGGGGGCCTGCGCCCCGGGACGCCACCCGGCCTATCACAGGGAAAGCCGCCCTGTCGGTGTCACGTCGGCGTTGCCACCAGACTTTCCAGGTGGCAGGGAGCAGTGTCTCCCCGGGCTGCAGCCCCCAGACGTCTGGCAACAAGAAGATGGGCGAGGGTCGGGCCCCCCGGGTTTTCTGGGCAGGAGGGCACTGGATTCTCCTCGCAGGCTTCAGCTGCCGTGGCCAGAGGCCAGGAGGGTCAGTAGCTGGGCTCAGGCCTCCGGGCGACACGTCCCCTTTGCAGAGGGCATTGGAGGCCATTATGGACACTGGCAGGAATGTCACTGTGCACAGTGGACACTGGACAACCAGCAGAGTCCCTGGCTGGCCGCTGGGAGCTGTTTACCTAGTATGTCCATGGGTGGCCCGCCACAGCCTGGCGGATGGCGTCTGACAGACAGTAACAGCAGGTGCCAGAGAGGGGGCTGACAAAGGCAGCGAGAAGGGCCTCCGCGCGGTAGCAGACAGCACTGACTGGGTCCTGAACGCGTCGTCCCGTGAGCACTGACCGCCTGCATCACGTCCAGTCACATCTCAGTCACCGGCTCTCAGAACTAGGGAGGAGTGTTGTTCACCAGCCACGCTCTCCCTCAGAGGAGACCCCCTTAGATGAAAACCCCTGGTCCCCGTGACCCCAGCCCAGTGCCAGGTAACCCGGAAAGGGTGGCTGCTGCCTCACTCCCTCGGGGCCTTCCTTCCAGACATCTCAGCCAGCAGGAGCACCTCTCCTCGGGCCTCCTGCCCCGGTTGGCCAGCCCCCGAACCCAGGCGAGGCCCTGCCCCTGCCACCGCAAAGGGTACAGCCCCATTGCACTGAGAGCCACTATCCCCGAGCGGAGGTGTCCCGCTGGAGGGAGTCCAGACCCCACCCAGAGGCCTCACCAGTTTCCTCCGAGTTGCCACGGCGACCGCCCTGGCAGCACCGGGCAGGCCAAAATAACTTCGAAAACAGGCGCCCGCAGGCAGGCGGGAAGCGGTGGCCACACCCACCCGACAGCTGACAGCAAACCAGGGACTTCCTTCCACCCAGGGGGGCAGGGGGCCCGTCAGCGGGGCAGGGGAAGATCCTGCCTGCTGCAGCTCCTCCTGGGCCCCTGGCTGGGGGACGTCGCCTGTACCTACCTGACGCAAATTTTTTAAAGAAATTATTTTTCCTTTATCCCAAGCAATAGTTACCAAGTATCTAGCCCGCTAGCACTTAGAAGAAAGAAAAGCCCTCAGAGCTCAGTGAGAGACATCAGGCCGGGCAGGCAAAAAGCCAAATACAAGCAGGGTCACAGAG